ATAATCAATTGCTTGTATGCTTGTATGTACGCTTGGTGCGAACCATTAGTTTGTGACAATACTCTTATTCATGCAATCTCTAACAAGCATGCAATATCTAACAAGCATGCACTATCTGACAAGCATGCAATATTCCACACCAACTGCTTAACCCACAATCTCACCTTCTCATAAATTTATCTCTTATTGGCGATGGTGCCATCGTGAGAATAAAGAATTCAAATTCAAAAAAAGTCAACTAAACAGACTTCAAATGATACTTCTTTAACTCGAAAGGGACTCAGAACTCAAATTGATGTTCCCTAAAGACAGTATGTCTGAGAATACCAAATTATGTGTACAAGTCGATCTCTCCGATTTCCCTCAAAATTTGCACGTAGGTTCCCTTTGGGGTGTAGATCGACTGTGCAAAACACTTGAAATATTTCTGACGGGAGCCTTGAAACTGGCATACCCCTCAAAAATGGTCAAAAAATAACATCATTGAGTCTAAAAACGAGTCTCGCCACAGGGTACACGAACAAGCTAGGAACAAAATTCCTTGAAGCCAACATTGCCTTACCTTAGAAGAGTTCCTGGGACAGCACAGCTTAGCCATGCCAGCACCCCAGAAGACAAGGGCCATCAACCCCTGACGCCTCAAATGATCGTACTGAAAATAGCCAATTTACAAGCGCTGATAAAAGTACGAGCTACATCTCCAATTAGCAAGAACTATACACCGGCAGATAGTAGAACACCTCTTCTAGCACTGAGGACACGTTCCCCCATCTTCATTCTTGGGTTTTCTTGAAATAAACAATTTTGAAATTGTCCACTCCATCATGCTGAACTTCAGCCAAGCTCATACCTGCCCAGGAAAGCTCGCCCCTCCGCGACGTCTCCTTCAGCAATTTCTACTCCAAAGCTACTCCCAACACTGCAGAACAAAGTGTATCGTTGACCCCAGGCTGAAAAGGAAAATCAGCGATGATCACATGTCACTCCAAACGACAAGCTTCTCCTTGAGCTACCCCCACTTTTTGGTGCGACTGTTGATGCAAAATTGACCGAGTCCTGAGCGAAGGTTTTGAATTTTACAGCAAGAGGTACAGTGAAATCACGTGCTTCATGACGCAGGATGACGTTTTCCGGATCACGACACGAAGCAATTGATCACGATCGTGCCTGGCACGCTACTCGGAACGGACCGTGATGGCTGAGGTAAGGTCAGGGCCTGCTGGAGAGCCGGGTCAGCCGGGTCACGCGCCCGGCTGGGGAACTGCACGACCTGGCTGAACAGATAACACCGGGTCCAGTCTGACCCGGCTGAAAAATGTCTCAAACTGACAATGGATTCCTAAAATACCGGTATTTTACGATTTGCGGACCCCATCTGTTGCAAATCTTGTAACCGTACACACTACAGTCTACAAGCGACAGAAACTCGGCTAGGGTCAACTGGGGTCAACTGGTTCGAGCGCGATCTGGCCAGCGGCGAGCAGGAAGTCAGGACATTCAAAGTCAATGGGGCAGGCAGTCAAAAGCGTAACTTTGGCTATAGCTTTTGACACAGTTGCAAGTTTTCAGCCGACTGGTGATTCGGACGATGGAGCACTAATTAGAAAACAGAATTCCTTTTTTTCAAATTGTTAAATCAGAATCCAATGGAACTGCTTTGCATTCATGTCGTTTACCTTCTACGTTTGCGGACTTCGATAGTTCGTCTTGTTCTCTAAAATTTCCGATTTCCGGTAATAAATTCGCCTTTCTGTTTTCCTGCGTTTTGAGCAGGCTTTTGGTTGTTTTTCTGCCGGATGGTCAGGCTGACCCGGCTTGACCCGGCTGGCCTGCATGCGCCAGGTACACTCTGACCGGGCTGTGTTGAATGTCTAGAGCAGGCCCTGAAGGTGCGCTGCATTTCCTGCATGGTCTGCTCAGAACCCCAACAAACTGTCCTAGGAGTGTTGCAATGGCAATACGCCTTTGAAATATTCCCCCGTACAGCAAGGAGAGTTATGCATCTTTTACTCTTACCTCCTGCTATCCCGAACATGGTCCAACAGTAAAAGTCCCTTGGGTTCATGCCGATGCTCGACAAGAGCTGCTAGCGTGGTCGCTTTGTGTTGACTGGTACAAACAGTGCTTTATGCATGAACCGCATGGCAGATTTATTACGTCATTAGGAACGTGATTTTAATGGTCTTCAAGCTACATGGTCAGGGAAAGTCCCAGTTCGCAGGCCTACAACACGGCCAGCATGTTCTTAGGCTTTGTGACAACGCGACTGTGATCGCTTCTAGAGCAACGGGCGTTGAAGCCAAGTAACAACGCACTTGACCAAGCTGACTTGGATATTTCGTGAGCTGAGATTCACGAGACTTGTCATTCTTGTGTAACGAGGCACGTGATGTCACCATGCCTCTTGCAGTAAAATTCAATACCTTCGCTCAGGACTTCACTTTGGCATAAGCGATCGCACCAAAAATTGTTGGTGGCGCACTAGAAGCTTGTCATTTGGAGTGACAAGTGATCACCGCCGCTTTTCCTTTTCAGAGTCAACAATACACTTTGTTCTGCAGCTTTGGGAGTAGTGTTGGAGTAGGAAAATGCTGAGGATACTTCACGGAGGGGCGAGCTTTCTTAGGCAGGTATGAGTTTGGCCGTATTTCTGCATGATGGAGAGGAAAATTTCAAATTGTCTTTTTCAAGAAAACCCAAGAACGCTGTTGGAGATCTTCAATTATCTTATTATTGAGTTGAAGTGTCGACAATTTACGTTGTATCGAGGGAAGCCCTGCTAAGTATGAATTAGTGCTTACTTCACTTTTAGCTGCAAGTCCTGTCACAAGATAAGTCTCGTTACAAGATAACTTTTTTGATAGCCCAGAGATTATCTACTAATGAGGGAGGACCTGTACTTTGGTATTCTCAGACATACTCTCTTAATTTTGCAGCCATCACACTTTTTTGTTTTAAATCTTACCGAATAGTAGTCCGTAAACGAAGTGTTCAAGTTGCAGGCATTGCATGTAACTAGGGGTGAAACGAATTCACCGAATATTCTAGAATTGTTCGTTTGGAAAACAATTCGAGTTACCGTACTTCCTCCGCGTCATCGAAATTGTCGCAGTTTGACTTTTGACATAAAACGGGGTATTTACTCACCAGCACTCGTACCAGAGGCAAGGAATCGGACATAGGCGATAGTCATCAGCATAAGGTGACGGCAAAGTTCTATTTTCTGTTATTGGAAGCTGACATTTTTGAAGTAGACGCAATTTCTTCGCTGATGTCGCTGCGATGGTAATTTCGATTCGCCGAGATCAGTCAGGCGTTGCAGCCTGCACATTTCTCGTGCTTATGGCCATTCACTCAAGCCTCATCACTGTTTTACCTTAGCTGGGGTGAGAATGACTTCGTGGAACAAGTAGCAGCGCTTGGACAAGTTGGAGAAACATCGAGGGGTCAGCAAACTAAATGCATGCAACAGCGATAAAATAATAATTTGTCGCTCTGGCTGAGACACTCAGTACATGATTGTACCTGCAAGAGCCGTGTAGCCTCTACACAAAGTGCTAGTGATGCACGCGCAGGTGCCGTACCAGTGATGCTGAAAAAGAGGGCGCGCTGGATGATAGTACACTTACCTGCATGAACTGTGACCACACTGCTAAAATAAATGGGCATGCCACGGCTAAAAACAAGTTCATTTCAAGATCGGGGTGATTCCGCCGACGGTAATCAATCGACCTGGCAATGATCGTGTATTCTTACTAGGCTTCGTTGGTGGTGCAGAAAATCAAAGCGTCTGAGATGAGGCGCGACCAACTTTCAACCTTCCTTGAAATATTTCGGAACGATATTTTTTGCGTCCATTGACATCAGCGACGACGAAGACTTCATCTCTGCATGAAAACTCTCAGTCAAACTGTCCTGGAACGTTACTCTAGTCTTCAGACTATCATACTGTGTAATAAGTTTTGAATGGTTTAGCTTATGGAGTTGTCAGTAAAAAGTGGCAAGTCACTAGTCAAACTGTGACAATTTCGCTGACGAGGAGGAAGTACTCTCACGATTAGTGCAAATGGCGCACTATTTTTCAATGTGCATCACAAATGGGGCGCTATTCAAGAGAGGGCACTATTCAAGAGAGAGAGAGAGAGAGCACTATTTTTTCAATGCTGGCACATTTACGTCATCTAGCATAAAAACAAAGAAGGCAAAGAAAACTGAACCTAATGTGTTCTGTAAACTATCACGACTCCACAGAAAGGGCAACAGGAACTGTGATTTGGATCCTGAAACCACCAGTTCGATGACATGGACAAGAACATTACCAAAAGAGCACCTAACTTTCACATGCTCTTGGTTACAAGACGGGGGGGGGGGGGGGGGGAACTATTCAAGAGAGGGCCATATTTGTTCACTAGCTCTTAGAGACTGGGGAACTATTCAAGAGAGGGCTTTAATCGCACAAGTACAGTATTCGTTTTCATGTAACATAACACGGTGTAACACTTTCATTAGCGAATTTTTTTTAATCCGCAAAAAGATGTAACGATACCACGCTGAGATGTCGACGCAATGTGGCCCCGGTATCACTCGAAATTTGCCCAAACAAACAATGAACGAATATGAGTAACTCAGGAGGAGTGTTTTGCAAACCCAAAGAGAGCCATAAACCCGCTGAGATCTGCTTGTTACGTGGCAATTTCCCGCTGAGGAAACATACTTGCTGGTTTGGTCAACAAACATGACAGTTTGGACTGAGCCCGGATGATGGATTTGCTAAGTTCCGTGTTGTTTGCTGACACGGTAGGTCGACCACAGGCACAAGGACAGAGAACTTTGTGCAGACCTATCCACAGGAAAAGCTTGTGTCTTAACAAGCATCACTAAACAGTGCTTATTACACTACATTCATGCCATAGAGTCTATTGACGAGGCAGCAGGGAGGGGGGGGGGGGGGGGGGGCTGGGGGTACCCAGCCTTCAATATTCTCTTCGTTTAAAACTTACGTTCCTGGGTTGTAACAATAGTTTGGGTTAGATTTGGTCCTCTTCCACCTGATGATATGGCAGCCATTGAGAATGTGTAATTCGTGCTGAAATTTAAATCAGAGACTATTTTCTGAGCGACAGTAGGGTCAACACGTATATTGTGAACATTGCTTGTGGCTCCATATTCGTTGTAGAATATATCATACCCTTTTGGATCACCATTGATATGCGGCTTTTTTACCTTTGTCCACACCAAGCGGACAGAAGTGGCACCAGGAAATAGATTAAATACGGGAGATTGAGACGGAGCTGTATATTTGAATGAGAGAAAATCAGGACAAATACAAGTAAACAAATAAGCGGCACGGAGACAATAACGTTGTTATTGCAATCAGCAGAATCAGTGAAGCGCACATTGGACATAGTAATGAACAAGAATAAAATATGGATAATAAAATTTCCTAGCAAGTTTTCTAGAGGCGTTCATCAGGGACATACGTCTCAATAATGAAATCTAGCAGTAAACAACAATATATACGTGCCATACTTTTCTCTTCGCGTACCCCTGTTATTAGTTCTCACTTCTCTAGTCTTTCTCACTTCACCTTCTTTTCTCCTATTATTTTCATATAGTGCATTTCGTACTCTTCCACATACATAATGTTGTTTACTGCTAGATTTCATAATTACGACGTATTTTCCTGATGCATGTCTGTAGAAAACTTGCTAGGAAATTTTATTATCCATATTTTATTCTTGTTCATTACTACGTCCAATGTCCGCTTCGCTGATTCTGTTGATTGCCATAATAAAATACAAGTAAACGCTTACATAGAAAAGTCATAATAGAAGACTAATGGCAGCAGGGTTGACGAAAAATTAAGTTCTATGCTGGCTGCATACCTCAACATAGTTTGTGGCTGAAAGACTAGAAAAAGACATCCTTGAAATATCGTGCTTAACCCTTTTCATGCTAGCAAGTTTTTCCCTGTATTGGCCGCACTTGTCTCTGCACTGCGCTCACCTGTTCAAAGCCGCAAGCGCAGCTCGGGATGAAATTTATTCCTATTTCACTGTACCTTGATGGATTTTCACGATCCATGGCTTGTTGGAAAGATCTTGACCATGGGATGCCATTCCATGGGCTCATAGCTTGATAGGCATACCAGGGTTATTTCCACCTCCTCTCCAAATCCCCTACCATGCCTGAAAATATCAAAACGACTGGTTCTCGTGTTTTCTTTCGTCTTCTTGCTCATAGTGAACGGATTTTCACGATTCAAACTGGAAATGCTGAGATTCAAGCTGAGATTCAAGTGTGCTCGTTGAAGCTCACTGTGCATGCCCTGTCTCTAGGGAAAATCCCTAGCCCGCGCGAAGTCGAAAACAAGAATTGTATCGACAACCAAAATGTGAAATTTGCGCATTCTGGCCATTCAATGTTTCGCTGCTCGGTCATACCTTGTCGTATCACAAAGAACTTTATACCCCTGGAAAGCTGAAACCTTTCGAGCGGTGTCTCATTTTCTAGAAATCCGAGAATTTTTGCACTGAATTATGACAGTTTGTACACTCGTCTATAGCCTGCAATAGACATGTTCTGTACAGCTTAGCATCTTCTGAACATTTTGAGCCATCGATTGTCAAAATCGGCCAATATTGTGCTACCTTATACTGTCTTGAAGTGAGGTAAGTCGACAGGGCGCACGCAAACTCCCGTGCGCGACGACAAGGAAGGAAGCATGTGCATATACGTTGTAGATGCTAAAACTACACCAGCACGGCAGCAGCAAGGCGTTTTTTGCAATGTTTCCTCCGTGACTGACAAACTCTTGAAAACTCTTCACTGTTTGCTGTCTCGCTCATCGGTGCTCTACTGCTGTGTGCTTCAGCAGCTATGGCGAACCTAAAATACATGACCAGTACAACGGCGAAGCCATTATTTTGATTTTTCCTCTTGCAACGAAACAGAGTGGTATATCAAATAATTCACAACTCTCCATCGTCACTTCTCACAGCAGCGTGGCACGGCTCTTTCACTCATATACGTGTATTTACAAAACACTCTGAGAACAGAGATAACGAGCTAGAACTGGAACACGGTGTGAGTCTTTGCTTCATTCCGTCAAGGAGCTCTTGTTCTCTATCTCTCCTCACCTGCGCCAGCGCATCAGCGTACGAGATAGATGTTGATCCCTTTCTCAGCAAAGACTGCAGAAATTGCAACTTCTACTTATCGCAGGAGTCCGCGTGCGAAATGTCTGAAGCCTTCGGCTTACGAGGCCAACACTGCTCCCAACACATGGGCTCGGAAAGAAACAATAATAACGACGGTGAACGGTAACCAAAGTGAAACGAAAGGCCCCAGCCGGTCTCCGTCTTCCTCAGTTCTACGTCTTCTTGTCAGTCACTGCAACTCACAAAACCTCGAGTCCTTGCTGTGCTCCGCGTACTGCCGCGTGCATGTAGCTCAGGTCACGCGATCTCATTTCTATGGTGATCAGATTTCAAGATGTCCTCCCACGTAATCGAGTTTTGGCATCCCAACCGTGTGTCCTGACAGTGTACATTGCACAATGTAGACAGAACGCGTGAACGCGTCCATGGCCAATCTGCTCATACTGAAAAAAACGTGTAAACGCGTCCATGGCGCGGAAAGGGAAAGGGGAAGTGCATCGATTTTTCAAGTAGGGTCCAGATGAAAAATAATTTGATATCGATTCGAATGGCATATCTCTTGCTTGCGTATGACAAGCCAAACTTAATGTAAAAAACTTATCGATGACGTACATTCTGCTTAGCTCCGTGAGAGAGAGAAGGTCGATCACGGCAGAATTTGGTTATTTTCAATTGGTTTATTGCATTCACGAAGTGAAAGAAGTGCTGTATTCAATGCTGTTAATGCCGTGAACTGTTTGTCGGCCCATAGCCAGCAATCGCATGTCATCACGTACATTGAAAATCAACATATTTTGCGAATCGAACTTTTTTCAGCATCATTTTTCAACGAGGACGAAGCAAAGTCGGCCGAACGAAGCCTAGAGGAAGAGAATCATCTTGTCCACTTCACCATCACCATACTGACATACATGTAGGTACGAGATGAAACAACTAAAAAGTCAACAAGAAAACTGCACGCCCACCGACTTTGGTCTGATAATTTTCTATTACCACCAAAATGCACGAGGAGCAGTCAAAAATCAGCTACAGACGTACCTTTGTCGCTCTCTACTCCTTTTTCAAGCCACGAAAGTCGCCTGTCCACTTTCAAACCGGGAACCGAAAAATAGTCTATTTCAGAACAGCAACTAGCTTTGACTAGCTACAAAGATTACACCAAAGGATCAAACAACAACCAGTTTCTTCAGTTTTTTGGCAGAAGACTTCCTTGTGCTTGGCCCAGCAGGCCAAAAATCACACTTTGTTGGAGGGCAAAAATTACAACTATCAGATGTCCTCGATTTCTGGCCATCTCCTGCATATCCCTAGGCTTACTGCAGCCTAGGAAATGGCTCCTCTTGTAGAAGGTGCTTGGTATTCGCCATCTCTTCTGAGAAATGTTCAGCAAACTGTCCAAAAAGTACGACATGATTTCGTTCGTCAATCTCCACCACCCGTCGTCTCACCTGGGTTCAGAAGATGTTTCAAGAGATAGAAGAGTTGCCAGGAAGCATCACATCCATCTTCAGCAAGTTGAAAGGTCAAACGGCGTGGTCCTTGGTTTGGGTAAATGCTGAACGTCTCATTTGTCCCAACCAAGATTTCACCACTGTGTTCGTCACTATTTTCGCTTATCTGCTGATGTCTCCTCACTCCAGCTTTCTCCTGTCGGTGTTACGTCCAAGTACACAGCCGAGAGGACTAATAGTGAACAGTTCACGACACTAACAGAATTAAATACAGCCTTCTTTCACTTTGTGAATACAATAAATTGAAAATGACCAAATTTTGCAATGATCTACCTTCTCTCCCAAGGTGCTAAGCAGAACGTGCGTCATCAATGCGCTGGTCGCTATAGTAACGTGAGCATACAATTGGTGATTTGTCACGCTTGGCTTATCGTATGGAAGCGAGAGATGTGCCATTCGAACCGACATCAAATTGTCTTTCATCTGAACCCTACTTGAAACATCGATGCACTTCCCCGTTAAAAGTATGTTGCCGAATACATGAAGTGTACAACATGCGCAGAGGTGCTAAGTTGAAGTGCAATTTGATGATTGACATACATTTTCCTGAGGTGGCTTACCTGAAGCGCTGGTGCTCACATTCACAGCAGCAGTAAACTGCGATGGCAGTTGACCAGTTTGTGTGTTGGAAGAAACTGAGTAGTTTGTGTATGAATAGAGACCTGATATCGTCACATTCAAAGTTTTTTTGCATATAACAGCTCCGGATGTATTATTTTTCACACAGAAATCTGTGGTCCTGTTTTCAAAGGCAGAAAAGTGTGCAGTTATTGATGTTGAATTGCTGGAGTATGTCACAGTCGGGAGCATTGCTGAAAATAGAAGCAGCAGATAAAGAAATACATTCACAACCATGTGCTTCACAAAACTGTTACATGCAACCCAGGCACTACACAAGACCAAGACAAACTTGTCAGATAGGGAAAAACTCAAGACTTGTTTATCACTCGTTCAGAGCAAGACAAGACAACAAAACAACAGGCATGCGCATATGCATGCAGGCAACGTAAGTAATAAGATAACAACTTATGACGCGTTTGTACAACGCTTGCTCAGATATCACATCCCTCCACCATCAGATGGAAACGGCCAGAATAACAGAAATACATAGACTGTGTCGTGGCAGCAAATAATCTGATAAGGCGAAATACAGATCAAGGCGGACAGGAGCCTTTACAGAACGAGAAGAACTGCGCATAGACACGACAGGACTAGAACCACTAGATTGGTTAGGAGTAGATTCAGGAACAGATAAATCAGCATTCTCACGGATCTCATCATGTACAATTGAGCCAGGCAGTGACATAGACTCATTCGGCGGAACACTAGGTAGAGCAGTTGAAGACGGTAGAGCTGTGGTAGAAGGTAAAGCTCTGGAATATGGAAGCTGTGGTGCTGACGTAGCAGTTGAAGCATCTTGCACCGACTCAGCAGGAAGGCGTTTCTTCAGGTGGTCAGAGTGACGCTTCCAGACTCTGTTATCAACAAGACGAACCGTGAATGTTAGAGGACCAAGCTGTTCTTCCACGGTGCCAGCTATCCACTTCGGTGAGGAGTTGAAATTCATTGCCCAGACGGCATCACCACAATAGAACTGGTATGCATTTGCACCACCACGATCATGGGCAGTGCACTGTTTGTCCAAGACTTTCTTGCCGCTGTCCGGGAACACGAGATCCAGACGTGAGCGGGGACGATGTTCCTTCCAAAGTAGCTCAAACGGAGAACGACCCGTTGTTGACTGCGGCGTCATTCTGTATTGGAACAGGAACCTAGCAAGGCGGGTTTCCAAATCAGGGCCAGACATCTTGGCCAAGCCAGACTTCACCGTCTGTACTGCGCGCTCGGCTAAGCCATTACTAGACGGATGATATGGTGAAACGAGAGTATGACGTATGCCATTAGATGAGCAAAACTCACGAAATTCACTACTTGCAAAAGCAGGGCCATTGTCAGAAACAATATTATAAGGTAAGCCAAGCAGAGCAAAGGTCTGCTCCAGCTTGCGAATTGCGACAGCAGCAGATGAGCCAGAGCAAACATGTGCTTCAATAAATTTACTATGACTATCGACAATAATGAAGAGCATCTTACCAGCGATGGGTCCAGCAAAGTCGACATGGACACGTAACCAAGGCTTACCAGGCCATTCCCATGGGTGGACTTGCTGGCGATGCGGCGACTTGGTGACGGTCTGGCACTGCATGCAACCACGGACGGTCTGTTCGATTTCTGCATCGAGAGACGGCCACCAGACATAGCTGCGTGCCAGGGCTTTCATTCTAGCGATACCGGGATGGCCGGCGTGCAACTCGTCCAGCAATGGTGCACGACCCGGTGAAGGAATAACTACCCTGGAACCAATTAGGATACAGTTATTCAAGACAGACAGCTCACTACGACGACGGGAATATGGCTCTAATCCCTCTGGAATGTCTTGGGGCCAGCCCTCAGATACGAACTTGTATACTAATGCCAGGGACGGATTTTTGCTCGTCCAGCGAGCAACCGATGCAGACGTAACCGGTGTAGTGTTCAAGACGGATAGCGATAGTACAGCCTCGGCTGGCTGCGGCGGTTCCGGTACCAGCGCCGGATTGGGGAGGCGACTCAACCCATCAGCGCAACCGTTCTGTTTCCCAGGCTTGTACTCGAGAACAAATTCATAATTGGCTAGTTTGAGTGCCCATCGCTGAATACGACCACTAGACTGAACAGGAATGGGTCTATCAGGATCAAACAATCCCAGCAGTGGCTTATGATCTGTTTGTAGTGCAAAGTTGCGACCGAAGATGTACTTGTGGAACTTGGAGACGCCAAATACCATTGCCAAGGCCTCACGGTCAAGCTGCGAGTAATTCTTCTCACAAGACGACAGCGTTCTAGATGCAAAGGCTACTGGCCGATCAGACCCATCTGGCAGAACATGCGACAGAACTGCGCCAACACCATACGGGGAAGCGTCACAGGACACGACAATAGGTAAACTAGGATCATAATGAATACGTATCGGCTCAGAAAGCAGCAGAGACTTGCCTGTATCAAACGCTTTCTGGTGACTATCAGACCAACACCACGACTTTGATGATAACAATTCATACAATGGAGCTAACACTGAGCTTAGATTCTCGATGAACTTGTGGTAATAGTTTATGAGTCCCAGAAAGCTTCTCAGTTCAGGGACATTCTCGGGCTGTGGGGCCTTCACAAGGTCATCCACTTTCTCAGCCGACGGCCTAATGCCGACTGAATCAATAACATGGCCCAGGAACTCAATAGACTGCTGAGCCACGAGACACTTCTCACGATTCAACCTGAGACCCGCGGACGCTAGACGATCCAGGACCAGCCTCAGATTCTCATCATGCTCCGCACGAGTCTTTCCAGAAACAACAATGTCGTTGAGATACACTACGACAAAGGACAGACCTGCTAACAATTGTTCCATCGTGCGCTGAAATATTGCCGGGGCCGCCGACACGCCCAAGGGTAGGCGGTTGTAGACAACCACTATCCTTTGGAGGTGTTGATTGTCGTCAGCAGCTTAGACTCGTCGTCGAGCAACAGTTGTTGATAAGCATGTTTCAGGTCAAGCTTGGAGAAGAATGCGCCTTGCGATAACTTCTGATACAAGTCGTCGATGTTGGGCAAGGGGTACTTGTCTACTCTTGCCGACTGGTTGATAGTACATTTATAATCGCCACAGATTCGTATGCTACCGTTCCGCTTGAGAACGGGTACGATTGGAGCTGCCCACTCCGAATACTGGACAGGACTAATGATGCCAGCTTCCTCCAGTCGACTCAGCTCTTTTTCCACTGCTGCTTGTAACGCATAAGGAACAGAGCGTGCCGTCAGGAACCGGGGTCTGGCGCTGTCTGCCACGGACAATTTGACTTTTCCATGTTTCCAGGTGCCCATGCTACGTTGGAAGAGCTGCGGGAACTCTGACAATATCGAGTGCTCGCGTGACACGTTGAACACGAAGTTCAAATTCAACCTCAGCAGTTGCAACGCGTCTCGACCCAGGAGATTTGGTCCGTTTCCTTGGACAACGACGATCGACAATTCTGCTGATTTACGAGAAGCATGGGTCGCAGAAGCACTAAAGCGACCGACGACATTCAGAATTCCGCCGGAGTAAGTACGCAGCTTCGGTAGATCACTTGTGTCGAGCGACAAATTGACCTTGGATGCCAGCCGATGAAATTCGTTTTCAGACATCACCGTCACGGCTGCACCCGTGTCGATTTCAAACACGACTGGCTGTTTACATAACTGGAGGGTACAACAGTACGGGTCCACGCGGTCCTTGTCACTCTGCGTGCGGTACAACGAATAGTACTCGTCCAGGCCGCTGCTGTACGGACTTGCAGTTGTAGGACCGGATGTAACACTCGCACCAGTACCAGCACTTGCACTATGACTTGGAGCAAGAGCAGGGTCGACTGGCGACGTTCCATGTACTTCTTGAGACTGGCCAACCATGTGTACACTGCCACCAGTGCTGGACTGCTGTGAACGGCAAACTTTGGCGAAGTGGTTTGGCTTCCTACACTTCCGGCACGACTTGCCCCAAGCTGGGCATGACTCGCGCTTCTCGTGCCACTGGTCTCCACATCCACCGCATTTACGTGACTGGCCACGCGATGACTGCACAAATCCACCCCGTCCAGCTTGCCTGTGACTCTGGTCTCGGTCGTGCACGGCATTGACAAGCATACTACTACTCCCGGTATAACCGGTACCAGACGAAGTAGAAGTGGTTGAGGACATTCCTTCCGACTGGGACTGGGCGTCCTCCCAAAGTCTGCACATTTCCAACGCTCGTGGCAGAGTCAGGGCTGGTTCTGACAGGAGCTTCTTCTTCAGCTCACTGCTGTCGACTGTGGCTACGATCTGGTCACGAATAGCTTCCGCAGTTTGTCCTTCATTCTCGAAAGAACAAAGCCGAGCTTGCTGCCGAAGCTTGGTGCAGTACTGCACTGTGGACTCTCCCTGCCGGCGAGTGAGTTGACGGAAGACGTGCCTCTCATACGTAGGGTTTGCAGGAGCACCGAAATGAGCTTGCAAGGTACGCTTGCACTTGAGGAACTCATTGTCATTCTGTGTTCTCTGATCTGGTGGAAGGCTGTCATCTGGGTCGGATAGGTCCTCGAATAAATCCTGAACTTCTAGACCCGCGAAGTGCAAGAGCAGTGCTTTTGAACGCTTCTTGTTCGTAATGTCCTTTCCCGTCAGATAATAGTCAAAGGCTCGAACCCATTTTGTCCACCTCAGAGCCACTTGAGATGGGGGTCCGGACGTGTCGAATGGTGGAAGACGGTCACGATCTCCCTCTATCGCGCAGGACGTTGTCTTCGTCGCCAAATTGTTACATGCAACCCAGGCACTACACAAGACCAAGACAAACTTGTCAGATAGGGAAAAACTCAAGACTTGTTTATCACTCGTTCCGAGCAAGACAAGACAACAAAACAACAGGCATGCGCATATGCATGCAGGAAACGTAAGTAATAAGATAACAACTTATGACGCGTTTGTACAACGCTTGCTCAGATATCACAAAAACGTTCATGCTATATCTGCCTCTTGTGAATTACTTGGCAGCTCTATTCAGTTTAAATCTTTTGAAATCTTAAAAGGTGCTAGGATGCGCCTTCCCACTTGGAAGGTTCAAAGTTATACGATTACATACAGCTGTTGGAGTGCGCATGCAAGACGTGCTAGAGCTCATGGTCAGTTAGTTGTAGAACGTCAGTACCGTTGGTCAGTGTCGTACAGTGTTATCGCATGGGCTGATTGTTTCGTT